ATCGACCCCCAGTCGCCGACCAAGACATGCGCCCTGGACGTTCTGGAGCTTGGTGGCTCTCGAATACAGGCAACATGAACGCAGCTGCCCAGCCATTGTGATCTATCTGCGGCAGTTCACCCTTCAGCATCCGTGGCTTCCCAGCCTCGGTTCTGTCAGCTTCTGAGTGGATTCTCATCTTTCTCCCAGAAATCTGATGACCTGGTCTTTTTAAGGTGCTTAGGACGGAGCCTGGCTCTTGGTAAGCTAAATGCATTAACCAGTGTTTTTTACTGTTGTTCCTGAGACCGTTCCCCAGGTTTAGCCTTAACTCCCAAATCCTTATCACCAACCCTTATCACTGGAGTCCTAGCCATTTGTGACTCTGGGCTGCTGTCCCTGGAACTTCTTTCAGGAGTCTCCTAACCAACTCTTCCCTCCAACAACCCAAGTCACCTGACTCAGCTTCTCCTGGTCAGTTCCCTACAGCTGTCCCCCTAGCTCAGTATTACAGAACCTTATTAGGGGAGCTTAGGCACCAGTCCTCACAGAAGATAGGAGCCATTCCAACCCTGCCTCTCCACACCATTCTGCAGCAATCATTCTGTCGTCCTCAGGGACCAAGTGTCTCAGCCAAAGTCACTCCTGGGCTGAGTACTAGGAATGGACCCTTCCAAGATGCAGTATTTTTAGAAATGGCCTTTGCTTCCTCCGGTGACTTCACTGAGATACTTTGAGGACCTGAGCTGGGTTTAGGCATTCTCTAGCTTTCACAAATGACAAGATCAGTACCAGGAGAACTCAGGTCAAGGCCCAAGCAGCCATAAAGACCAATAAGCAATCTGTCATCAAACCCAGTGCAGTCCAAGGAGTTTCCTGGGGGAAAATATCACTCTGAGCAGAAGGGACTTCCTCCTTAGCCTAAAATCCATGCAGTCTTTTTTTTCTTTTAATTATTTTATGTATATGAGCACACTGTCTTCACGCACATCAGAACAGATCATCAGATCCCATTACAGATGGTTGTGAGCCATCATGTAGGTGCTGGGGATTGAACTCAGGACCTCTGGAAGAGCAGCCAGTGCTCTTAATCACGGAGCCATCTCTCCAGTCCCGCATGCAGGCTTTTGAAGGCTTTCTTGAACATGTACCAACCTTAGAGACCATCCTTTCTATGCTGGTTTTGTGAAATCCATCTGGTGTAGTGAAACCCATGTTCCTGTCACAGTCTGGGAGGGACTGAATGTGGGAAGACAGGCTGAAGGGTGTTTCAGGGAAAGCAACCCTCTGGACTCCAAGCCTGGAACCATCTGGGAGGACTTTTGTATCCAAGTTGGCAGGACACTATTCACGACATGTGGCATGTCGAGAAAGACTGGCTTGTGAGAGCTACATTCAGGACTACAGGAGGATGACTGTAACCCTTCCCCCCATTTCCCCTCCTGCTACTGTGGAGGATAAGACTAGTAAACCTAGTTATTTCTAGAACGTCCTTGGAATCTAGATGGAAATGACTGAAGCCATGAGTGTGTCCCTGAACAGTGTTACATGGTTTCATTTCTAAAATATTTTAGTTAGGCATAGTGGTTCATGCCCTTAATCCCAGCATACAGGAAATAGACCTGAGGCCATCCTGGTCTACATAGCAAGTTCCAGGTCAACCAGAGATACACAGACTCAAACAAAACAAAAAAACAAAACCAAATTATTCCCTCCTTGCCTTGCCCTATCACCACCACTGCAAAAGCCATCTGAGCAGGCTCTGGCCTGAGGCAAGAGAGCAACTTAAAACATCTGAAGCTTAGATTCTGCCCTTCCTTTATATGTTACAAAAGGTGCCCATCAGGGTATGTGCCCACACAGAGCTCAGTTCCCGTTTCCTCTTAGTTTGTTGGGTCCTGTAGATGTCTGTCCTTGGCAGAAGTCATCACTCGACTACACTGCTGTAGCTGGTCCAGCCAGGCTGCAGTCCCGTAGAATGTTTGTATCCTGCTCTTTTGAGTCCAGATTTACCTTATGGAGAACCTGGAATTCTGAATGAAGCGGCTACACACTGTTTGTTGTGTGCCTCTTAGGCCAACTCCTAGTCCCTTTGTAGCAGGTCTCAGCCCTCAAACCTGATGTTCTTCTAGGGCATCTCAGACTCCAGCTCACCCTCCATCCCCAGCAACTTGTATCTGATGCACAAAGCGTGTGAGAATGGGGGTGCTCTTGTGAATATTTGGTGAGCCAAGGTTTATAGGATTTTTCTTAAGAACATTATTAAATCCAAGTGTGGAGGATGTGGTCTGAAGAAAGTTTCACATGGTCCGGGTGCGTGCCTTGAATCCCAGTCACTGTGGAGGTTGAGGCAGGATGGTAAATTCAAAGTCAGATTAGGTGGGGGCTGGGGGGATGGGGAAGGATGGGGCTAGAGGGGATGACTCAGTAGGTAAAAGTACTTGTACCTGCTATACAAACATAGGGAACTGAGTTTCCATTCTTGGTACTCACATTAAAAAAAAAAAAAAAAAAAGCTGGGCACAGTACAGCATACCTTTAATCCTACCACTCAGGAGGCAGAAGCAGGGAGATCTCTGTTTAAGGCCAGCATGGTCTACACAGTGACTTCTAGGAGAGCCAGAGCTACGTAGTAGTGAGACCTGTCTTGAATGAACGAATGAATGAATGAATGAATAGATCATTTTAAAAGAAAGGGCACACAGTAGATGGGGTGGGCAGCACACACTTGTAATCCCGGTACCTAAGTACTTGGGAGGTTGAGCCAGAAGGATTCTGGGAGGCTGCTGGCCATCCCGTATAGCTGAGTTAGTGAGCTCCAGCTTCCAAGACAGACTGCCTCAATCCCCAAAATAAGATGGAGGGTGATGAAGGAAGAGTGTTGATCTCTGTCCTCCACAAGCATGAATACATGTGCACACACAGGAACAAAAAAATGTTAATATAAAAGGGGCTAAGAAAAGTGCTTAGTGGCAGAGCTTGCCTGGCTTCTGTGAAGCCCTGGTTTAATCCACAGTGGCCCACACACAGTCACAACTTCAAGCACAATGTTTAATGGTCTAGACCTTCAGCATCCTCATCTCTATAGAGTGTGCCTATCACTTGGCATATATAAATCCACACAGTACTACCCAGAATGAGCAGTTTTGTTTTGTATACTTCACTCTCCCAACCATTTAAGTACAGTGAGAGAAGGGGAACACAGGGTGGGGCAGGGATGGGACAGTGACTTGCTCATCATAACAAAGCTGGGATGAAGCAGTAGACTGGAGGTACCAAGTGAGGAGAGGTGCCCTAGAGGACTTGGCAGCAGACACTGGTTGTGCCAGAAAGTTACTTTATACAGGTATAAATACATAATCCTAGCATGGGGAAAGCTGAGGTAAGATTGCTACAAATTTGAGGCCAGCCTGACTTACAGAGTGAGATTGTCTCAAACTCAAACAGAATCTCCCAAAAAACTGTTAGGTATGATAGCACACACCTGTAACCCCAGCACTGGGGGAGGGGTGTAAAGACTGAACCACCCATGTTCAAGGCAAACCTGAGATGCATACAGAGATCCTATCTAAAAAGGGAAGACTATTTGGAAAGTGGTGGTACACACCTTGAATCGCAGTATTCAGGTGAGTCAGGCGGATCTCAGAGTTCAAGGCCAGTCTAGTCTACAGACTGAGTTCTAGGACAGCCAGAGCTACACAAAAAAATCCTGTCTCAAGTCAGACAGGAAGCAATGAGGAGCCCTGCCCAGAGAATGAGGCTGAGAATGAACAGATGTGTCAAGAACCTCAATCTAATCCCCTTGACTATCCCAAACCATTCAACAACTGCCAAGGAAACGGCTCAATCTCGGGTTTTGCCAGGTCTAGCGACACAGGCCTTTAATCCTAGCACCCAGCACTCAGGAGGCAGAGGCAGGGGGATAAGGCCAGCCTGGTCTACATAGGAAACTTCAGGACAACCAGGACTACACAGATCTTGTTTCTTTTTTTTTTTTTTTTTTGTTTTTTCGAGACAGGGTTTCTCTGTATAGCCCTGGCTGTCCTGGAACTCACTCTGTAGACCAGGCCGGCCTCGAACTCAGAAATCCGCCTGCCTCTGCCTCCCAAGTGCTGGGATTAAAGGCGTGCACCACCACCGCCCGGCACAGATCTTGTTTCAAAACAATTTTTCTCACTATAGACTATAGCTGAAGGCTGGGCAATCCAAAAGAACACAGGCTTCCTGCACTCCCCGTCTTACAAAACCTCTTCCCTCCCTGAACGGTGCCTCCTTGCCCTCAAGCCCTGAAAGCATTCTTAGAATATGGTCAACGGGAGCCCAAGGAGCAGCTTCCAAAAATCTCACAGGAGACGACATGGCCCGGCTGGTAAGGCCACTTGCCACCACACCAGACTACTCAAATTTGGTATCTAGGACCCAAGTAGTAGAAGGGGAGAACCTGCCACAACTGTCATCGGATTTTCATAAGCTTTCCTAATGCCTATGTGAACCTCCCACACACTGAACAAATAAACGGACAAATAGCTGGGTGATGTGAGCACCGTTTTCATCCCTGTAATCCCAGCACACAGGAAGTAGAGATAGAGGGAAATTTCTGAGTTTCAGGCTAGCCTGATCTACACACAGTGAGCTCTAGGCCAGTGAGAACCTATCTCAAAATGTATGTGTACACAATAAAATATAGCCAGAGGGGGCTGGAGAGATGGCTCAATGGTTAAGAGCACTGACTGCTCTTTCAGAGGTTCTGAGTTCAAATCCCAGCAACCACATGGTGGCTCATAACCATTCATAATGAGATTCAACGCCCTCTTCTGGTGTGTCTGAAGACAGCTACAGTGTACTCATAAGTAAAATAAATAAATCTTTAAAAAAAAAAATATAGCCAGAGATACTCAAGCATACCGCCTCCAGGAACGAACTAAAACATGGCTCTAGCCCTAGTCTCCTAGTTACCCCAAGTAGATACCCAACGTGGTCTTCTTTCCCCCTCCTACCTCCAATCAAAAAAACAAAGACCATTTTCCAAAACAAAGAACAAATTTATTCAGCAGACATTTAAATTATGAATCCTATAAATCAGGACCACCACAATTTCAGACACTCCGTTGCGAAGTGTACATCAATAGCCACATCTGGAGGATGAATGAGCCATTGAATCTTTAAAAAAAAAAAAAAAAGTTTAGCTACCTTAAAAGTTTGGGGGTGCACCTCAGAAAGGGTGCCCTCGGGTTTCACAAGGGGAAAAGCATTTCCCCCTCCCAGAGTCACATTTAAAAACCAGTTTCAGTCACTCACCAAGAACTGGCAGGTGAGGAAGATGGAGAGGCCCCCTCCAACTCTGCAGAGGGCCTAAATGAGCAGAAAGTGTGCTCACTGCTTTCACCTCACACCACACACATCACAAACACAATGGTTGCAGGGAGGTCAAGAGGTTGCTTATGACCATTTCTGAGAGCTGATGCTAAGGCCAAGAGTGGCCTATCAGGAGTAGTAGTTCTGGAAAAGAAAAGCACAGAAAATACAAAATAACTCTCCCTACACAGCACTGTCAGCCTGTGTGTCCTCGGGAGACTCCAAGCGGTGGCAGAGACACTCTGGTCTGTGCGTGGAACCAGAAAAAGACACTGGGGTTAACGCTCCCAAGAATCCCACAACAGTCGACTCAACCTGACCTTGAGTCCAAGTTGGCAAGGTCAAGTCATTTGCATATCCCCACTTAAGCTCAGCTCTCTCCACCTTTGAGAATTCACCAACTAGGTCCCATCGCCCACCTTCACAATCACAAATTAAGCAGAAGAAAGCGTCACCAAGCCACCCCTTTGCCAACTTTATGTTCTTCACCCTAGAACCCCTCTGCTCCGCAACTGTAGCACCATATGCAGAAAGCTTCTCTACCCGAAAATAACGAGATCATATATGTCTACTATTGGTTTTCAAGTATTGTTAGAAGCCCTCCCGATTCCCGCCCATGCGAACCACAACTATAAACAATCCAAGCACATGATGCCCTAGGGCTAAGTCAGGCCCAAGTAGCTGCCACAGTTCTCCCCGTAGATTGCAGGTCAGGTCCTCGGCAGCCAGTGCTGCTAAGTCCGTTTTCTGTAACAGCCTCTTGAGACCGGTAACTTTGAGGCTGTAACCAGTGGGATGGACGACAGCTTCAGCTCCGCACTGTCCCGGGCAAGACACTGTTGGATCCGCATGGCCGCGTCCTCTTCCCCCTCCAGGGACGTCGGGTCAGAGCCAGGAGCCCGAGGGCTGCAGGGTGACTGAGTCTAGTCCGCTTCGGCCACCCCCGGACCCCGGCGCGCTCGAGGGGCTCGTGGCCGTAACCGCGGCGACAGCTCGCTGGAGCCTGCGCACCGCCTCCTTGATGAGGTTTCCCGAGAGTATGAGCTGCTGTAGGAGCCGGTGCGAGTCGTCGTCGGCCGCGCGCGCTCCGCCTGCGGTCCACCGCCGCTGCTGGATTCGCCGAGAAGCCACGGCCCCTGGGAACCACCCTCGCCGCCCCGGCCCGGGAAGCGCGCTGGCGCCGGGGGCGATCTCCGCCACGCAGTAGGGCGCCGCCCGGCCCCGCACGCGCCCGCGCTCCCCCAGCACGCAGCGCACGGCCCCCGGGGGCGCAGGGTCCTCGGCCTCCGCTGACCCCGCCGGCCGCAGCAGCCGCCTCGCTGGGGTCCCGGCCTTGTCCGCCGGCAGCGCCGCCAGGACCCGCGGGGGCGCGGGCGGGGGGCCCGGGGCGGCACTCGGCGAGGCCGGGCCGTCGTGCGTCGCGTCCAGCTGCAGCGTCTCGCCGATCTGGGCGATGAGCCGGTCCACGTCGGTCGAGCCGCCCAGAGTCACCGACTGCTGCAGCAGGAGGAAGCTGTCGTCGTCCTCCTCCCCCTCTGCCTCGTCGCCGGCTTCTTCCTCCTCCTCCCTCCGGCACGGCATGGCCCCCCGCCCGGGCTCCCGCGGCTGTGCGGGCGTCGCTGGCGGCTCGGTTGGCCGCGGGCTCGGCGGGCCGCGGCTGGGGCGGGAGCGAGGCGGAGGCCCGGGCCGGGCTGGGCGGGGGCCGAGCCTGGGACGCGGAAGCCGGGACCACCGGGCAGTGGCACCGCGCGCCTTAGAGCCGCGGGAACCGGAACGCTGCCGGCTCGGGTTGATTTGTAAACAATGGGTGACGTCGCGCGGCTCCTACCACCGCGCGCAGCCGTAGGGGGAAACGTTCTCTAGAAGGCTTAGGGGCGCGGGACAGCGCGCACCCTGCGAGACCGCTGCCCACGCTCTCTGTCCTATGCTACTTTATATACCTGCAAGCAACTCCCGCGTCGTGGCACCGTCTTCGCCGTGCCCAGGTCCTAGGACCTGTGGGAGAAGAGGTACCCTCGGAGGCTGCCAATTGGCTTCTCCCACTCGCAGACACACCTCTCAGCGCACCCAACCCCTCCTCTGCCGCGCCAGCTCCATCCCACGTGTGGGCAACGCCTGCGCCGGCCCGGGGGAGGGGCGGCCCCGAAGGTGGGGGCGGGGGCGGGGAGGAGGAACCGACGCTGCTGGGGAGCCGACCCTGTGGTCAGAGCTTGCCGGGCGTCCTCCTGTCCCTTCCATTCTCAGAGCTACTTCGTTGCTGGAGTTGACTTTTTTTTGTAGTTCAAAGGAAAATATTCTCCTAACCATAAAATTCAAACGAGATTAACAGACTTTTTTTTTTTTCCTTTTCAGCCTCTTCTCTGGACATTATACAGCCACACACAAAAACATTGCAGTCGCATTAAATTATAAACCTTTTTCCGGTGATTGCACGCGCTTTGAAAACACTGTAAGGATTACGTAAGTTTCCATTAAGTGCTTGTAATTGTTTAAATTCCTTCAGCGGTTGCTGTTTCTCCGATTTCACCGTTGTAATAAGTGTGTGACTAATGTCTTTTCCCATAAAACTTTTCCAAGTTTATGATTCATTTTTCAGAGTACATTCCTAAGAGTGGAGTTTTAGGTCAAAGGATAAGAGTATTTTTGAGTTTGACCGTTTTTATTTTTTGTAAATACATGGAAAAACCTAGAACTGGGTGAATGTACTCTTCTTATTAATAAGTGATGTATGTCATTCATTGAAACCACTAGATTTTACTCATTATTGAAAATCTTAAGTATGTGTGTCATTTTACAGGTGAAATTGACATTTTTCAGTTTGCCTGTCCTTTTTATTTTTTGTTTTGGTTATGGTTATGAATAACCATATGTGTATATACACATATATTTACATATATATTTACATATATGTGTATATTTACATATATTTACATATGTGTGTATATATTTGGGGGGGTGGGGACAGCGTTTCTCTGAGTGGCCCTGCTGTCCTAGAACTCACCCTGTATTCCTGGCTGGCCTCAAACTCAGAGATCTGCCTGCCTCTGCCTCCCACATTCTGGGATTAAATAAAGGCATGGACCACCTCCCACCAGCTTCCTTTTGAGACTTCTAACAGTGATAGATCTAGTCTCCTTGCCTTGTTGCTGTTTTGTCGTGTCCCCTCCCCCCCCCCCCACAGGGTTTCTCTGTGTAGCCCTGGCTGTCCTGGAACTCACTCTGTAGACCAGGCTGACCTCCAATTCAGAAATTCGCCTGCCTCTGACTCCCAAGTGCTGGGATTAAAGGCATGTGCCACCACTGCCCGGCTCCTTGTTGCTGTTATTTGGAAGTTTTTGTTTGTTTCTCAAATCCTTTGGGAGTTTTGTTTTGTTTTTTGGTGTTTGGTTCTGGGAGATAAGATGAAATTAATTTCTTCCTCCCCCTTCCCTCTCAGCTTGCCAACTAGGGCTGTACTTCCGGGCTGAGACAGGACTGTAGTCATTACACAGAGGCTGTGTCCTGAGTTCCCAGGTGCTGGGAACTGGTGGTTATGAGGGATGGGTGGGGCTGGGAATATTCTGATTAGTTTAATGGGAGCCAAAAGAGCCCCAAACCGGCTGTACAAAGGTCTAGATTCAAGCCTCATCCCTACTACCAGCTGGGTGTGGGACTCCTGGCCAGTCAGTTTACAAGTGTTTTCACTTGTAAAATGGAAAAAAGAATAATCCCTGCCCCACCTCCTTTGGAGATTGTTTTCTGCATCAAATGAGGTGATGGAGGCAGGCTTTGTCAGGCATTACACTAGTGTGCTGTGGGATTAGGCCCAGTGCTTTACTGACAGCCTCTGGGCGCTCTTCCAGCAATTCCCTGGGGAAAGAGCTAATATCTTAATAATAAAGGTTATCCTCTGAGCCCACTAAGTGATTTGGACCCTGAAGGCAATGCATCCTAGGGCCAGACTGGCCCTTAGAATCCTACCTGCTGTGGACTTTGCCCTGGGATGGGTTAGGGCCTTCCTGAAAGCACTCTCCCAAATTTCAAGGTGTGTCAAACTACAGCAGTTCCGCAGGTTTGGGTGAGGGCACCTTCCCATCAGGCGGCTCCGTCCTCCATCGCCCGCCCCGCCAGGTTTCCTAACACACTCTGCAGTTGAAGACCGGAAGCTGTTCTCCCCAGAGATAAAATCTCATTTTCATTCTGATGGTACTTACTGGAGAATTTCAAGGAGGATGAAAATTACGAGAGGGCTTATGGATTTCAGCAGAGTTAAAACGGCAATTTCCCCCTCACCCCCTCCACTCTGTAAGATGATGCCGGCTGTAAGTAGAGAAAAGCAGTTTTATGCTCCATTGACTTTAAACATTAATGGGTCTGGCAAAGCTATTGTTTCTAACCCAGCATCCCTGGAAGTTGTTTTGTCTTCCTGTCAGAATAATTCCAACAGTGTTCTTACTACTGTAGGAAACGGAGCCGAGAGGTGGCATTTTAAAAAAGAAGAAAGAAAGTGAGGGTGGGGAAGCCTTTGCTTTGTAATGTTGCTTTTGTGTAGAGATTGCTATGTGAATATGCTGGGATGCAGGGACGTTAGACTGTTCATTACTGAGATGAATGCCTTTCGGGGAGCCCTGCTCCATTTTCTCAGGGCACTTCTCTGGAGAGCTTGGAAACCGAAGTGCTGTGCTGGGCCAGTGGGAGGTGGAAAGGAATACCCTGGGTTAGGAAGCAAAATCCAAGATGTGAGAAAGACCCAGATGCAATTAAAAAGTAATGAGAAGGTATCCAAAGGGGAAGGCAGTGAGAGCCGTGTGCCCAGCACCCTGGCTACCAGCCTAGAAAGAGACATTGCAAGCATTCAGAAACATCCTGGGAGGAATACCAGACTGTGGGGCTTCAGCATTCATTCAGGCCACATAGAAGGCCTCCCCAGTGAGTTTGCCTACCTCACGGGGGTGGTGGTGGTGTCGTCGGCAGCGGCGGCTCAGTTTTACATACCTGTCTCCAGAGACACCAGCTAGAGCCATGGGCAGTCCCACTGGATGAGGTCACTTCGGGTCCTTTTGTGCCTCCGATTGCCAATCTGTAAGATAGAGGATGCTATATTCTGGAAGGCTGCCAGATAGTACTAGCGTGGAGTTATACCCTAAGGAGCAGCACTACTTGTAGGGATGCTGGTGTGCGAAAAGGCAGTGCTGCCGAGGGCCCATCGGTAGATGAGTGGATAAACTGATGTACGTGGAAAATGAAGGAAGCAGGAACGGCTCTACTCCTGCTTAGAGATTCAATCTAGAGCTTTTTTTTTTTTTAAACAAAAACTCATGCTACGAATGAGGTTAAAAGGAACTAAAAGGGCTTGGGGACAGCTCTGTGAATAAAGTGCTTGCCCATGCAAGCATTAAGGACCTGAGTTCTCAGATCCCTCCATCCTCTTAAAAGCGTAGTCATGCACACCCTATATGGGAAGGCAGACAGAGGTGGATCCCAAAGAGTTCTCTGGCCAGTCAGTGTGCTCTGGGTTTGCTGAGTGATCCTGTCTTAAAAAGATAAGGTGAAAATGGATGAGGAACATACCCAGTATGTCTTCTGGTTTCCACACATGCATGCATGCCTGGGTATATACCTGTACATACAGATGTATGTATACATGAAAGACACAGAAAAATTATAAAGAGCAACATACTGACACATGCTATAACATGAGTGTCAGTGAAAAAAGACAAAGGTCACCCTGCATGGTTTAAGTGCCTACCACAGGGAAACCTTGTCTCAACAAAATAACCAACCAACCCAACATGACACGGTGTGTCTGGCATTTGGTTCCTATCTTTATTCATATTTGGAGCCACAGTCTATTTGCAGACAGGAAACGATCTCATTGCCTTTTTCCAACCCGTGCAAGGCTGTTCTTCAGTTTTGAGGGCACACTGAAAGCGACACATAGCAACTGCCATCTAACGGCCAGCTCGATAGGTCAGCAGGTAAGAGTGATTGCAGACAAGCCTGACAACCTCCGTTCAATCCCCAGGGCCCAAATGACAGAAGGAGAGGACTCTGACATCCACACATGCGATATTGTACACTCACACACAGATAAATGGGGCTACAAAGATGGCTGAGTATAAGAGCATTGGCTGCTCTTCTCGAGGACCCTGGTTCAATCCCCAGCCACCCACAAGGCAGCTCACAACTGTCTCACTCCAGTCCCAGGGAATCTGGTGCCCTCTTCTGACCTCCAAGGGCATTGGGTACACATGTGCACAGACAGGCAAAACATTCATACACATAAAACAAGATATACAATGCAGAAAATAACAACTGCTTTCAAGAAGGTAGAGAGAGCTGGAAGCCTTACCCATCCTCAGAGGGCACATGAAATGATGCTTCTAGTTTCAGAAACGGTAGCAGATTCTCTACTGCTATAAACTCCCCATGTGACCCAATGAATCTACTTTCAAGGTACGACCCAAAGGAACTAGAAACCTGTCCACACAGACGGGCACATGAATGTTCACAGCAGTATTAGTCAGAATTTTGAAGCTGAAAACAATCCAAATATCCTTCAAACAGTGGGTGGATAAACAAAACGTGTTTGTGTGTGTGCA